TAGAATTCCCCACCCCAGCAACCTTTGATAGTACTAGCAACAATGGAAGGCCACTGGCTTGGCGTTTCTGCTGAAATGATAGGACTGATGTAATTAAAGATGACATTTAGATTGTCATCATTAGGCCTCAGTGTTAACACCCCCATTGAAGTGAACAGGAGCGTTCACACCTCCTTGTGATTGACTGAAGATTCAGGCCCACTTTGAGGGTTATTTTCATAACCAAATGAGTTAGAGACTTTTTTAACTATAAAAGCTTAGCTTCTGGAACAAAATGACGCAGCATGTTTTTTGAAAATCTAGAATTATGGGGTTGTTTGCATGGCTGCATAATTGCATTGCACATGGGCTGGGATATAAGAGAGAACAGCTATTCTTCAGGAAATAAGTAATCTAAGCCTGACACAGCTTACTAATATAAGTGAAAAAGTTTTTCACTTTATTTTTATGATACACACATTTCCATTCTGTTGCAAGGGTTGCAACATTCTTTTGTGAGGTGGTTGACCTCTTGGTGCACTGAAACGACTATCACGGCCTGGCTGCAACAAGTCAGCTAATCTGGATAACGCTTCAGCAGAAAAACTGTAACATGACAAGCCTCTCATTTTCATAAGAGCTAGAACTCGGGATGCTGCCGCACCCCCTGGCTTGAAGTAGTAATAACAGACCAAAAATACATGATTTCCGCCTTCAGCACCCCCACTACAAAAATTGTTCCAGCACTACTGCTCATTTTACTGACGCGTACTCCACAAAAAGGACACAGCTCTAGATGCATTTTTAGCTTGTAAGAGGATATGAGAAATGCAGGACAAATGTATTATTCCTTGGACATACATACCAGGATAGTGTCCAAAAAACCTCAGCCAATGCAATTTCAGAGGATTTATTCCTCATAGATATCCCAATCCAGCAAAACACTTATCTAGTTAACTTTAAACACATAAGCAGGGGGCGGCTCTTGCTTTTTTGCCGCCCCAAGCACGGTAGGCAGGCTGCCTTGGGCGGCGCGCCTGCGGGAGGTCCCCAGTCCCGCGGATTTGGCGGCATGCCTGCGGGAGGTCTGGTGGTCCCATGGCTTTGGCATACCCACCACCGAATTGCCGCCGAATCCGCGGGACTGGCGGACCTCCCGCAGGCATGCCGCCAAAGGCAGCCTGACTGCCGCCCTCCCAGGGACCGGCAGGGCGCCCCCCGCGGCTTGCCGCCCCAGGCACACGCTTGGAGCACTGGTGCCTGGAGCCGCCGCTGCACATAAGTAAGTCCCACTGAAGTCAAAAGTTAAACAGTGGTTTAGTGCTTTCTTACATCGGGGTCTGAACACCAATCACAGTTGCTTTGCTACTCTATGTTCTACCCAGTAACGAAAGAGTAGGAAAGGAAACTTCTTTTTGGATAGCCTTCCAGAATTAAGTACCTGGAAGGCCAAAAATGCAGAGACGTATGTAAAAAACACAGGTGCAAGTGACACTTATTTGCCAAAAGTACGTAGAAATATGGTGAGCCCGCCTACAGCCAGATCTGCTGAATCAAAAGGTGCAGAATATAATCTAACATGCCTCGTGCCCCTAGAGTGCCTACTTGTGTGAGTTATGAAAATCAAACCCTATTTGATTATTCTCCAATACCGGCATCCTGCATTGGCCCTCCATCCTCAGCAACTCAATCAGTGAGCATAACATTGGCCTTCCTTTCCCTTGATGTCAAGAAATCCACGTAGAGATTTTATTTCCTGTTGAGGAACACGTCTGCCATGAGGTTGGAGAAGCTCAAGCTGGGATTGTATTTCCCAGCTACCAGGGCTAGGACACCCCTTGGTGCCTGGCTATTAAAAAAAAAACACACACAAAGAAAGTGTAAGTCACAAAATCTATGACCACAGAGAGAGAAAAAACATGACTTTGCATTTTGAGACTAAGCTATACAATCCTGCTCCGTTACAGAGATTTCCAGCAGAGGGCTCTAATGTGTTATACGTGAAATATGCAGAAATAGATACAAGGGGGCAAGAAACAGAGGGTTTAAGGCAGTAATAGACCTCAGTGGTTCAGGAGCCAAATTGGTGATCAACATTATCCAAAAGAACCACAGTCGTGTGAATTCATAGTTT